ACCTGTTTCAACAGTGGAAGGGCCTGAAGCGCCTGAAAAATCTCATGTACATCTTCTTCGATTTCCTGACGCTTGGCCTCCTGCCAGCCACCAATGACAATCTGGAGCTCGTCGACCTCCCTTGGTGCGAATCGAGGCGAGGAGGGCGCCTGATTGGCTGTGCCTCGAGGAGTAGACACAGGACTGGGTCCTCGAGTGGGGGGGGCACTACGGAGAGTTTGCACTTCTCGTTCCAGTTCTTGGAATTCTCGACGCATCTGTTGCAACGCGGCTTCTTGCTCATCCGCTCTCCTGGTGAGGGACTCCTGTCCAACACTGAGATTGCGAACCCCGTCCTGGATGGCTCTAAGCTCGTGACTTGTTGTGGACATGTCCTTGGCCATCTGTCGTTGGGCTCCCGCAATATCCTTAAGGTCGGCACGTAGCCCTTCCAGCCAGGAAGGCTCAGACTCCAACTGAAAGAACTCAGGCCGGTTGGTTTGGGGAGGATCAGGGGCAGGTACTGGAGGAGGTTCCGAGATGAGAGGCCCTCCCGGGGGGCCATGGAACAGCGGGGGGTGGTGACCTGAGCTGGCAGCAGGTAGTCCTCCGAATGCCGGAGCAGGGGGCATTTTAGTCGTGGCAGAGAGCTTGGCTTTCTTTTCAGGACTCGCACCCTCCTTGGATCTCAAGTCATCTACACTAAGATCCTGATGAACATGTGCAGTGGCTGCAGCCAGAGCCTCAGCAGCAGCAGCAGCAGAAGCAAGGTCCGTGGGGTCCGGGACATGGGCACGGAGGGGGAACTTGTTTGCTTCAAAGCCGCCTCTAACAGTCCTTTCCCTAGTTCTCCCTCTACGGCTTTCATCACTACGGGCGTCCAGAGCTGTGTCCTGCAACACCGGGTTGGGCAAGGGTGCGTCAAGCATCGCCGCCTCCCCCACATGCTCTCCTAAATCCCCCCCCCCTCTTCTCTGGGACCGTTGAGAGACGCCACCCCGAAGGGAACCGTGCTTTCATCTGTCATAGCTAGAGCAAAGGCGGTCACCACGAGAGCCAGAGCCAAGACCGACAAGGTCAAGCACCAACCGACGACAAGACAAAGACAGGCTTCGAGAGTGCAGAGGGTTTAGCGTGTCTTCTTTAGGATGTGAGGGTGCAGGGTTTCGGGTTTAGGGGATCATGAGGTAGGACGCTGCCGTAAATTGTTGTTTTCCGAGTTTCGCTTCTCTGGCTTAACCACTTGGTCATTGGCTAGGTATCTTGAGCCCAAAACGGGCTTGAGAGGGTTTCTTATGCCCTCATGCTCGAACGAGCCAGACGATGTCGATGCTTAGGGCTTGTCCATCTTGCGTTGCAAAATCTGAACATTGAGGATTGCTCTTGTTTTGGAGGGGGGGGTCGTGTCTACGAGTAGCCTGTTGCTAACGGGTTCTTGGGGTGCCCTAACCTTTTCCACAGGCTTGAACTGAGCTCGCCCGGCCAAGTCCCTCGCAGCACATCGCACTAGGGCACCTACAACTTAAACCTTAAACATATTTCCCAACAGGCGACAACACAGGAAGAATGCCAGCAACATGCGTATGCCTTCATGAAGCCCGAAGTCTGAAGGGTTTCCAGGTCACCACTTCCCGAATCCGTTGGCTTGGTAATGCTTGGTGTCTGCCAGAGCAGGACTGCTTAAGACTCCTGTCCAACCTGTATGAGCAAACGAGCCTGCTTGAGCACGGGGTGGAATTCACCGGTCAATACCTCTTGCTTGGTGTGCCACCGAAGATCTGCATATTCCTGTCTTGTCACGGCTGGCGGATGGTATTGAATTCTGCTTGCGGGGCCTCCTCATCAATCTTCAGCTGTCTCTCCTTCGATAAGGTCGTGTCCAGCTGAACGACCCCAGCACTGGTTCTCCGATCCTCCTCCGGATGCAAGACCATGCTGTGCACGGTGGAGATGTCCTGAAACCGACGCACTTCGAAGAAAAATACTTCTGATGGATAGGAAAGTGCACATGCTTCAGCAAGGTCTGCTGGTGCTGGACAAGATCATGTCGTGTCAAACTTGGGCAGTGGCAGCTGTGCCGTGGTCTGCAGGAGCCTCAGTATCGACGAAAACAGCCTAGACCGACGGATTCAAGAACGTCCATGGACTAGCCGTGCCTGAGCTCGCACGGCCCATGTTAGGGAGTAGCAGCCGATAACCTGTCGCCATGCTGGGGCTTTTTCGAGGTACGCAGGTTCGCCTGACAGCCTCAAGACCGGAAAGAAACTCGAAAACAAGAGCCACCAATGAAGTGAACGGACTCCGGAGCCCCCACCTCTACAAGTCACGCAGACCCGACAGTAAGTATCACGGGTGGGCACATTTGTAGCATGCCCAGACAACCTTGTTTTGTCCCCTGCAGCTTGACATTGATAAGCCTGGACAGCTTTTTCTCTTACGGCACAAGGCTCCGAGCGGTTCTCCTCCGGTCACTTGATCAGTTTTCGGATGATCCCCTTTACTTTCGGCACGGGCCGCTTCTTGTACGGATTCCGTGGATATGGGGCTGCGCCACGCTTCATTTTGACATCCAGCCGGACGCTGAACTCACGTGGCCGGAGGAAATCGCACCAATGCGAAAGCACCTCAGTAGCCTGCTTGTTGGAGGTTGCGGTCTTTGCACCATTCCCGTCTGGAGACTCGTCGGGCTCAGGAGCAAGCACGGGCAAGGAAGGCAGGGGAATGGTCATCCTCATGACATCCGAGAGAGACACCCAATAAGCCCCTAGGAATGCAGACGCAGGCGATCGCCACATGGGCACAGCCCTGGTACGCAGCAGAGTTATCCAAGAGCCAAGGCAACCAAGAGCCGCTGCCATGGCCAAGCCACCGAAGCCGCCCTACTCTCACACCTGGCTCTTGGGGCCCATTCTGGATATCTCTTAAGCCAAAATGCAGCGCGCTCGTCCACACCCATTTAAGGCAGCCCTCAAGGATGTCGGCAGGTGGGCTGCCAAAAGGCCTTCAGGCGCGATGAGGGGACTTCCAATCCCAACTCTCGCCGGAGATTCCGTGAAGCTGCCTGGCACGCACACACAGAGAGACAGATGTGCACTTGAGATGCCGGAAAGAGGGACGACGGAGCAGCGGTGTGTTTCTCAAGATTCCTCAGAGAATGTGCCTTGTGAAGCTGCGTTGCCCGTCTTGATCGCCTATGGAGTGCTACTTCTGGTGGCCTGCTGCGGCGTCTCGCCTGGCTTGGCGCGGCCACCAATGAACCACCTGGGTGAAGGCTGGATTCTGGATGCCACAAGTTCGACCAAACAGAACAACAAAGATCTCAGAGAAGCACCAGTCCGGCTGTGGATGCACCTTGCAGGCACCCCTGCGTCCATGAGCTTTCTACACCAGCAAAGCAGCCCTGGTGAGCCTTGCGCTTGCCCAGGAAAACATGAGAACCGTCCGGTGAAGTGACGAGAATGTCCGACCTATGGCAGCTCTGACATTCTGCTGCTAACACCCTCGTCCTCTCTGCTTGGTCACTTCCTCTACGACTCTGCCAAACATTGCCAAACCATGCCGACGTTCAACTCCGCTAGGCAAGACAGGCAAATCTTTGCAGGAAGGCTTCCCAAGGGCTGCCGAGTTCTTTAGTTCAATGCGAAGGCCCACGCGCTGCAGGCAGGGAGGAGCTACACATGCGTCGCTGAGACTCCGTGCACTGCTTTCACCAGGGCATCTAGTGCGCGGCCGTACTCTGCATCCTGGCGGCTTTCTGTAGGAGGAAGGGTCGTATGCAAAATCCAGCATGACCCAGCCACAACTCCTCCAGAAACAAGTGATGCGGCTTGAAGTCCCCGGTCGTGAAGCATGGGACATGCATCCTATTGCTGTTGTTGGTTTGTTGTCATGCATGTTCTCAGATCGACTCCATGCTCTTGCCGGGTGCGCCGCCGTACTTTGGCGGTCTGAGTATATGACATTTGTTTGGGCTTCTACTGTTCTACACCAGAGGCACCAAGCGCACTTCAGCACCTTCGCCTGTCCAAAGCAACCCTGACAACTTAGGCATATTATACATCTCATGTGTATACATGTACAAGTGTGCGTGTGTGTGTGTGTGTGTGCGAACGTGTGCATATACACATCCTTCAGTGCAGTACCTTGGCAGTATCTCCCGTGCTTAACGGAGATCTTGGACCCTGCGCATTCGATGCAAGCCGCGGCCGTGAGTCAGTCGGTGGAGCCGGTGTGCTGCGGCGGCAGGCAAAGAGGTCGCACACATGCACTGTGCAGCTGTTTGCAGCCTGGCCCAAGGACAGAAGCGCGGCCTCATCGTCTGAGGCCTGTGCTTGCGCCGGTGCGGGCTGATCTGTTGGGCAGCCTCATCGGTGACTCCTCCGAGGCAGTTCAGGCAGAAACTGGGCACCTGTCATGTTCACTTCACTATCAGAGCATGAGGTGCTGGCCCCGCGCTGTGGCGATTCTCCGCGTTGCCTCGGCTGAACCCGACGCCGAAGCTGCGGTCAAGCTGCAATCGAGTCAACTGACTCAGGAAGCAGGCGGGTACCGATCTGCTGGGGATGTTTTTGGTGACGGCCTCGGATTGCGCCATGCTGCATCCATGCTTCCATGCCTGGGTCAAGGAAGATGCTTTCCGCATGCACGCAAATTCCGTTTGAGCAGGGCAACTCTCGCGAGCCAGGCCGGCCTGAGCTCAGAAACTGACGTCAAAACTCCCGCACAACGCGTTTACAGGCATCACCGCTCTCTTCTGCCACTTCAAGACTTCACGTCACCTTCGCCATGCACCTGGGACTCTTGCTGTGCTCGTCCCTTCGACGACTCGGCGGACCTTCGATGTAGCAGTCACGACTACTGCCGAACACTTGGATGTTTACTTTCGTGGCAGCATTAGCAGGGGTGCGGGGAGCTGTAAAGGAAACCGCTCCCGCACACTGGCCGTGGTAAAAGGAACCGGCGTAACAGGAACACGACGGGCACGGGAGCTGCCAACGGAAACCAGCAGGCCAGGGCAGGAGGCCTTTATGCTCACACAGTCGAGGACCGAAAACCGGTCCCCCACTGGCAGGCCTGAAATAGATAAGACACAAGTGAAGATGTCGATGCATTGGTACAAGCACCCGCGCAGGCGTGTGGTGCTACGGTACTGCGGGTACACACAACCAATCTTGTGCGTGCTTCTCACACACAGGCAGAAGCTGCCAGACAAGCAGGCAGGCCGATAGTCGTTAGAGCATCTGCATTTGTTTTCGTTTCGTAGGTTGAATTCGTTGCAGATAGTTTCATTTGCTTGAATTTGTGCGTATTTGTCGGAAGGTGAAGTCCCTAAGCCCCTAATGGCGAATGGAAAAAGGTAGTGAGTGCCGCTGCTTGAAGGCAAATGTCATGCAGGGCTAGAAGCTTCCATGTGCCCAGCAACCTTTGTCGAGAAAGACTGATTCCGCAATTGACAAGGAAATGGCCGCCCGAAAAATAGTCAGTGGAATGTCTAGTCTAGTTTCCGAAGAAGATGAAGAGGTCTGAAACCCTGGAACGCAAGGACCGAAAAGCCGGAGCCGACATAACAGTCACGATCGGACAGAAGGGTCCGCACGACGCGGCTTCTGTTACCATGTGCTGCACTGAACGTGTTACGGGAACCAGGTGGTTTCTGTTACGGTCTCAGGCCTGGTTCCTGTTACCAATCAATTCCGGTAATGGACAACCTATTCCCGGTATGGCAAACCCCGGCAGTAGCAGAGGCTGTCCAACCACAAATCTCGGAACCTCTTAAAACCCTCTCGGCTCTTGTGCTCTCAGGGAGGACGTTCCGCTCACATGCGCTGATGCAGAGCAGCTGAGCATGTGGCCAGTGAGAGGGTCCTTGTTGCTTGGACCTCGCTGTAACGCCTGTGTGCACGGCAAAAGACCGCCCGAACAAATACAACAAGTGCTGGAACTCCCCATGTGGTGCCTGGGATGCCCAAGAAGTCCCAGTTGACGTTGTGCTGGGCTGTCCCTGCATTTACGGAATCCAAGCGTGCAAAGCACGACCGCTGCGAGCCGATCCGTCCGCCTGAGAAAATGCTAATCGCGGTGCTGCCGGCACCTGGGCGCTCTCAAGATTCGGGTCTTGCCAAGCTGAAATAGGCAGTCCAAGTCCCAAGCGTCCCTGTACGGACTGTCTCGTGAAACTCCTGTTGCTTTCATTTCCAAATCCACAGAGAGAGACACAGAGAGAGAGAGAGAGAGAGAGAGAGAGAGAGAGAGGGGGCGGGGGGGAGGAGAGGGGAGAGGAGAGGGAGGCGAGGAGAGAAGAGGCGAGACGCGAGAGTCGAGAGGCGAGAGGAGAGGAGAGCAAAGGAGAGGAGACGAGCGAGCGAGCGACGAGGGAGGGAGGGAGGGACGGGAGGGAAGAGAAGGGAAGGGATGGGAAGGGAGGGGAGGGAGGGAGAGAGGGAGAGAGCAAGAGCGAGGAAGACGGAGATAGATAGGGCTTTGGTGAACTCTCTCCTTGTGCTTGCTGAGACAGGAGATAGCCGCCGCTTCTGGTGGGATCCGGAGCGGGTGGAGATGTGCCTCAGGACAACCGGCCAAAGGCTGGAACTTCTCGAGCCTTCTTTTCCAGGGCTCCAGCTGGCTGCGACTGGCCTGCGAAGCACCAAGAGCTTGGTTTCTGTCTGCAACTGCTCAGCATTGAACCTTATGGAAGTCTCTGCGATGAACTCGTAACTCCCATTTTCTGTAGGGGGGTCCCCCAACAAAATGCACGACGTCGAACGCAGGTGTCCTCCACTTGTTAACAGCTGAGAGCCTCCAGTTAAAATTCAACATGCATACGGCTCGGCCCTTCCCGTCACGATTGCATGCTCACCATCTTCTAGACTTTGTAATGTTGGAGGAACCACCTGTGACTCAATGACTATCTCCTTGGGGTCCGGCAGATGTGCCAGGCCATTAATGCCAGCAGTGCTCCCCACAACCTCCACGGAGGCCAAGCTTGCGCAAGAATCGCGCGCGCGCGCGCGTCGGCCGCGGGCAATCGCAGCGCAGCTTGGGCTTCAGGCAGGCGCAAGCGGCGTGGGAGGGGGAGGAGGTCCCGGCTCCTCCTGCAACAGCAGCATGCTGAGCTGGGCTTGGACCCAGGCAAACCATTTCGTCCTCTGCTGCCCAGGCCATGGGAATCGCTCCAGGCGGCGGCGGCCTTCGCTTCAAGGCGAGCGCTCAACAGAAACGAAACGCGGCTGCTGCCCGGGGCCTCGGCGCGTTCTCCTCTACGCGAGCTCTGGCCTCCACAGAAAGGGCACACCCTCTCTCCATCTCTCGCGTCTCTCGCTCCCTTCTACTGCAGGTTGCTCCCCCCCTTGCCGGACATGACACAGGAGCAGCTATGAGGAAAAAACTGCTCATGCTTACGACCTCTGCGGGAGTGCTCAGTCGCACGGACCATGCCGGGAATGCAGAAGCAGCACTCAACACGATACGCGGCCCCTGCATGGCATCAACTACGAATGATATGATTAGGACGGGGAGAATTCTCCTGCATGGCACCGCTCTAAGACAGCACTCAAGCACTCCAGAACCCGAATTGCAATTAAAGCAGGAACTTTGCCCGCAGTCTCAGCATTGGCAGGACCATGTCCTCGATGGCCCACCTGCTGGGTGAAACGACGAACTGCTCCGCGACACCACATCTAAACAGTCGTGCGTCAGCCGCTGTGTTCGGCTTCTCCCTTTCCAGGGGTGCGCGGAGAATACAACACCTCATCGGCACAGCTGCCAAGAAATCGAATCCACAAGAATCTGTTCAAGCGCATGTGGCTAACACTGCTTGCACAAGAAGGCCGAGGGCAGGGCGGCACTCTGCAACAAGGCGGGAACCTTTTGAGATCGATCTTCTGCAGAAGCACCTCGCCGGTTCACATATAATGATATATGATGCGGACGGCAGTACCAAACTAGACGGTGCGAGTGGGCCGCGTACCTGTCCGAGGCTCGTTCTTCAACGTGTCCAAAAGCCTCTCCTGGGAAAGTGGTGTCGTTCTGAAACTTTGTGCTAATGTAGAATCTGCTGAACTGCCGCGGGACCAGATTCGCAGACTCACTACAACGACAGCTTACCCCTCTGGTGCACATATTGGACGGAGGGATTGCGCCGTTCAGTTCTGGCCGAGGCATCGGAGATGCAGGAGGTTGCAGGAGGAGTCGGTTCGGCTGCAGTGCCACCAGTCCCAGCCCAGCCAACTAAGCAAGATACTAAGGTTTCTTGAAGGCGAGCATGTCCTTGATTCACATGCGACCTCAGAGGCCATCGTGTCCGCTCAAGACAGCATGATGCAGCATGTTGCACCCCGACTGGGTCCCAAGCTCGAGCGCATAAATGCGATCTTCGATGGCTGCCAATTGACCAGACTGTGACAGCGAAGCAAAAAGCGGCAAACCCAACATAATGTCGCTGTTTCTCGCCAGGCTCCTGTTCGGTCAAGGTGATCCATGTCTGCCGCGTCTCACGCCGCACGGCCTTCCTTAGCTGATTGGACGTGCGTTTCGCACACGGCTGCTGTTTCACACGCATCAACCCGGCAGCTGAGCCACTCCACTTGGCGTACTCGACCCTCCCAGCGGCTTGCTTCCTGCTGGCTTGCTTGTAGTCCACCCCCAGCGTAGCGGACGCCCTCACACGTGAAAACGTAGGCCTCGACAAGGAGCGAAGTGACATGCAAGGAACGCAGTGACCTGCAAGGCTTCCCGAGTGATAGTTTCCAACACCGCCGAAACTGTCTCAACGTCTCCCTGCATTCACCTAAGTGACCCCAAGATCACTCTCTGCTGCTGCTACAGTGCTGCTTGGGCCTTCCTGCAACATCTACAGCAGACTCAGCCGCCTTCCTGCTGCTGTGCTATTGCTTCATGTTTCGATTTTCTAATTTGAAGATCACATGAGGGGGCCTCCTTCCCCAAGCAGTCTTGAGTCTTCGAGATCCGGAAGAGTCACGGTCAAATGCACGACTCACAGCTGTGCCGGCAAACGCGACACGTATGCGGCACAAGGCGTATACAGAATTCTATGTTGCATGATGTTTCATGCGTCAAGTCGCATGTTGCTAGGACCTGCCTGCCCGAGGCCATCAGGAAATGAGATGCATCTTAAGGGAAGCTGAAATCTCACCTTGAAAAGCCACGCGTCATGCACCGTAAGACGACTGCTTGCACAAGGCTTTTGCCTAGATTCTATCATCTCGCACTGTTTTTCTTGTTTTTGACTTCGGCAAACCAACTGCAAAGACAACGGACTGAGGCTTTAAGAGACCATGCGGCCGGCCTTTTCTTGCTGGTGTCTCTTGGGGATGACATTGGCGACTTCTGCCTGCTCCCAGCACGGGCTGACCGACCGTTAGA